ACACAACTAACAAACATAAATAAACTCTAAATTGTTCAATTAAAAATATTTAATAAGAAAAAAAATTATTAATTTGTTTAGAAAAAATTAAAGAAATTGATTTATCCAATATAAAAAAAAAATTTCGGTTATTATTCGGTTCTTTGGTTCTTGGTCTAGAACCGAAAATCAAACCAAACCATTCGATTCTCGATTCGGATACCCGTTCGGGTATTTCATTTAAGAAAAATCACTCGATTCGATTCGGTTTCGGTTCGATTCGATTGGGTTCGGACATTTTGTCCAACCCGTATAGAACAAACTTATGATTCAGCATTACAAATTAGCCATTCGAGAGCAGGGTCTGACGGAACATCAAAGATGGTCTTTTGTATTGCTGTTTAAATCAAAGAACATAAATATAGAGAAAAAGAAAGAGGCTGGGGTTTATTGATTAACTGCCTAATGAAAATATAAGAAAATTAAGCTTTAAATACTGCTAGTAGATAGAAGACTAATGTACCATTAAGATAAATAATAATGTATTTTACTTCCTTTAAAACTCATGATGCTGTTGTAAACAGTGTAAGAGTTAGTCCCAAAAACAAAGAAAAAAAAAAGTAAAGAAATTACGATGTGACTTTGTAATCAAGTCCGCAATTTGCATAGACGAAGGAACAAAGGGTAATATGATATTGAGTGGCATTTAGTCTCAAATATTTGGTCCTCTCAAGGAATATTGAATTGTGCACAATCTAAAAAGCACTTCATTGTCACAATACAATGAAGCAACTGATAGTTTCCCTATATAACCAGCCTCATGCCCTTTCTTCATTGGACTCGTCCTGTTTGAAGTTAAAACATGCATTTCATCTATTTAATTTAGTTTCATGAATTTAGAAGTTTGAGATTCATGTATTGGTAATTAATAAGTACCAAGTGAAGTGTGGTTCATGCAGTAGAATTAAATTGATTAGATGAACTCATGTTATAGGAAGTTCTATAAATACCTATATAATCTTGAATTGAAGACATGTCCACAGTTGAATAGAAAATTATTTCATACTCATTGAGTCATTTGCTCCTCATAAGTCAAAGTGGTATTAGAGCCACAATACTAGAAGCTATGTCAAATAGCAACATGATCCCTTACAAGTTCCAAAACTGTCCAAGGAGAAGTTTGATAACTGGTGCTTCCGTATTAAGGCACTATTTGGCGTACATGGGACATTGTGGAAAATGGTTATGAGGCTCATACTGATCTAGCTACTCTCACCAAAGCACAAATGGATCTTTTATAAAGCACCAAGAAAAAGGATTAAAAGGTTGTTTCTCTTATTCACCTAGCACTGGATGAAGCCACTTTTGAGAAGGTTTCTAATGCAAATCAATTATGGGATATGCTTCAAGTTGCCTCCAAAGGAAAGGAGAAAGCAAAGAAAATTTGCCTCCAAAATCCATGAAGTGAATTTGAAGCTATTCAAATGATGGAATCCGAAAAGGTGTCGGATTATGTTTCAAGAGTCATGACAGTTGCAAACCAAATGAAGAGACTTGGTGAAGATGTGACTGATTTAAGGGCGATTGAAAAAATCCTTAGATTAGTTAGTGAAAAATTTGATCACGTGATGATTGCCATTGAAGAATTGAAGGACTTGGAAGACATGACAATTGAAGAATTAAAGGGACCATTGGAAGCATATGAAGAGAAGTTCAATAGGAGCAGGAGCCCATGGAGCAGGTTTCACAATCAAAGCTTACTTTGAAAGACAAGGAAGACAAGGGAAATAAAAGATACAGAGGACGATGCCATGATTAGGGCTTTGGAAGAAGAGGAAGGGATAACCATATTTCATTTCAAAATAGAGATGAAAATTATCAATCCAACTTAACAAGCGAACATGGCAGAGGAGCATGGCCATATCAAAAGAGGTATGACAAGTCACAAGTTAAATTTTATACGTCATGAATTTGGATATTATTCATGGGAATGTAAAAGTAGTGATGGTGTGAAAGCTAACTTTTCTCATGAAGAAAATATGAAAATAATGAAGAGGAGGATTCTACTCTTTTGATAGCTTGTAAAGACTTGCAACAAGGAGAGAAACATTTTTGTTACCTTGATACTGGAGCTGGTAATCGCATGTGTGGGAACAAAGAATTCCTCCAAAATTTCAGTAAGGGGGAAAGGTAAAATTTTGATACGTTTGAAGGATAGAAGTCACCAATTTATTTCAAATGTTTATTATGCTCTAGATATGAAGAGTAATATTTTGGGTGTGGGTCAATTATTGGAAAAAGGTTATAATTTGTTCACAAAAGGTTGTAGCTTGTTTTTAAAGAATGATGTAGAAAATCTGATTGTTAAAGTATCCATGGTTAAAAATCGTTCGTTTGTGTTTTCCATACTAACTGACGTGGCTAAACGCTTGATATCGTGTTATAATGACTCATCGTGGTTGTGGCATTTACATTTTGGGCACAAGAATTTTGGAAGGCTAAAAAAAATGGCTAGCAATGGAATGGTAAAAGGTTTGCCTCCAATAAATAATCCGGATCAATTATGTGAAGGATGATTACTTGGGAAGCATTCGAGGAAAAGTATTCCAAAAGAAGCATCTACAAGAGNTTCCTTTTGTTTATTGATGATTTCACTAGAAAAACATGGGTGTACTTTCTTAAAGAAAAATAGGAGGTGTTTAAGTGCTTTCAAAACTCTTGTAGAAAACACATGTGGATTTAAAATCCAGGTCATGAGATCAGACAGGAGAGGCGAATCATTTCCAGAGACTTATGAAGAAGGGCACGCCACTTCATTCGTAAAAGGGCATTCGAAAAAGGGCGCGTAACCCCTATAAACGAAAGGGCACGCCATTATACCCACGTCTTTGCATCACGTGCTTATCTTTTCCCTATAGAAATCACCGTTCATCTTCTTGCTTCCCTGCTACGCTTCCTACAATCCCTTACGAAGATTATACTTTGCAGCAAATGGCAACTCCACAAAGCCCTTCCGACAACTCCCTTAGCTTCAAGGATTTCCAAAACGTCCTTCTCAAGCCGTATATAAATTCGACTTTTCTTTCACCAGCCAACTCTGACCTCCATGAATTTTATTTGGGTTCGTCGTTTAATGATGCTGAATCTATTGGACAAGCGACGGTGGGTCAGCCCTTGCACTCAAGACCCTCCTTTTCTGAACTCTCTACCGCTAAAGCCGATTCTCGAGAAAGGTATTCGTACCTGGCATAAAACTGACACTACTTTTCATATGTGGCATG